GGAAAAAAAAAAATGTAGGTTAAATTTCAACCTTTATGATTATTTTGTAAACAAATAATAATAATAATAATAATAAGAGAATATTATGTTTTAATAAAATCATCATGAACTTATCATCTTGTGTGTATGTGTGTGTGTGTGTGCGTGTGTACACATTTAATTAAAAATAAAATATTTAATAATATTTTAATCATCAAGGTATTAATTAATTAATTAAATTGAATTGGTGGTGGTGGTGGTGGTGGTGGATATGATAAATAATTTTAATAATTTTTGTCTTACAAACAATTAATTATTTTTTTTTTTTTTTTTATTATTTATAAAAACATTTTTAACATTAATTATTTTTTTACCTTAACGACTTTACTTTTACTTTTTTTTTTTTTTTTAAATAATAATAATAATAATAAAGTTTTTAAATGGTTAATGACCTAATAGAACGTCTCGATTGAATTTTTAATTTTTTTTTTTTTTTTGGTGTTTGAGAGGGGGGGGGGAAAGAAAATTTATAAGGATTTTAACTCCCCGTAAAAAAGAAAAATGACAGCGTCGTAGTTTTTTTTTTTATTTTACTGTTTTCGAAAATTAAAAGAAATAATAATAATAATAATAATAAACATACAATTTTAGTATGTTTTAATGAGGTTTTGAAAAACATGATAGTACAATAAAAATTAATGGCGTAAAGTTATTGCTTATTTGAGCGAACGTTAAATTACCGAACACTTGTTAAGAAGAAAGAAATTTTTTTTTTTTCTCTCTCTCTCTATATCGATTCAAAATTTTTAAGTTATTAAACAATTTTTTTCCTGTTTGTTTTTATTAATAATTGAAAAGATTCTTATTAATATAAATTATTTTTCTGGAGAGAGAGAGAGAGAGAGATAGAGTAAACGTTGAGCGCACACGTACACTCTTGTAAAAATGTTTTCCACGTTTAGATTTTACTAAAAAAATTTTTTGTTTTTTTTTTTTTTTTTTTTAATTTTAGATTCGAGTTCCCACTGATTGAAATAATAAAAATGTCTTCGAAAGTTGAAGATTCCATAACGGCGGTTTCGGATGGTAAATTAAATCAACAATCTCCGGAAACGATGAATTTTAGCAAAACAAATCGTAATCAAGGAAAATTTAATATTCCGAAACATGGTAAATTGAAATTAAAACGTCAGATAGTTCGTCAAAATAGTAAAAAACGTCACGACACTTCTTCTTGTTTTGGAAAGAGGAAAAATGAAAATTCGAAAATAAGTAGAAAACGTCTTCATCACGGAAAATTTTTCACAACGACTTACAAGAGAAGAAAGAAAGAGCATTCCGTCATAATACCTCCGACTAAATTTTTACTCGGCGGTAATATTTGCGATCCGTTAAATTTGAACAGTCTTCAAGATGAAGAAACGAATCGGGCGGTAAATGCTGTCACTCCGATATCATCTCCAAAACCCACGCCAAAGCATAGTGAAGTCGAAGTCATTATTCCCCGTAATTTGAAAGATCCTCTTAATTTGATCTCTTGCACGGACGATAATGAGTACAAAATGGATTCTAAATTGATGAACAAACGAAGTCGGAAACATCGTCACAGGAAACGAAAACGGGGTAGTTCGGGTTCGGTATCAATCAAAGACGAAACAAACGAAATTGTTTTTGTTAACATTCAAGATGAAAATGTCGAACCTTTCGAGGAAGATCCCCCGGCGAAAATTTTGAAAACCGAAGATGATAAGGTTGATAAGGTTCTTCAAGAGGAAGTATCTCCGATAGTTGAAAAACCACCACCGGAGAAAACATCGGAAGTTGTTAATAAGACGAACAATGCTAAAAGAGAAACATTATCGTTAAGTATTAAAGAAGTTCCGCGGCACTCGGGTCACAGATGTAGAAAGTTCGATGATAAAGATAAAATAGTTAGCCCTGTTATACCTCAACCCGGTGCTTGGAAAAAGCCTCGGGTCAATCAACTCCCCGCGAATCGGAAAAAAAAAGATGAAAAGATGCCAGAATTCAAAGCCAAAAATAGCAAGTACCAATATGGGAATTACGATCGGTATTACGGTTATCGAAATCCTCACCATGAAATAGACGTTCGTTTAAGGTGTTTTATGGACCATAAAGAATTATTTTTCGATAAAGATATTTTAGATATCGGATGCAACATCGGGCACATCACGTTGTGCGTGGCACGAGATTTCGGAGCTCGATCCGCCGTCGGATTGGACATTGATCGTAAATTAATAAACATTGCTAGGAAAAACGTTAAACATTATGTAAACGTGGCTCCGACTCCAGCATATTCCGGAGGTTTTTCAATTCGCAACGCTCCACCTTTCGAATCTCCCATGTATTACGACAATAAGAAAAATTATTACGTTTTCCAAGATTCTCCGGGAATGAATCCGAGAGCGACTCCGATGTATTCGTATCCGGAGAGTCCGGTCAACAGGAATTCTCATCAATATTGCATGGAGTCGCCCAGCTACGCGCCATCCGGTAAAAATACTCCCTACTATTCAATGGAGAGTCCGAGTTACCATCCTTCAATATCTGAATCTCCCAGTTATAGAAGGAATAATTACAACTTTGATTCTCCCAGTTACGTTCAACAGTCTCCAAGTTACCATTCCGGAAGAAACACTCCTCTTTACAGTTTGGAATCTCCCAGTTACCAGTCCCATTGTAGTTTAGAGCAAAAACGATCGCCACAAGATCTTCACGCCGCGGATGGCGTGGACCAAAAAAACTGTGATACATTGTTTCCAATATCTATGCCTATTTTATACGGTCCAGTGGATCCGCCTGGATTCAGCACACAACAAGACTCAAACAATCCAAAGACTTTTCCACACAATGTTACTTTTGTTCACGTAAGGCATTTTGTGTTGTGTGACGTAACCGCAACGCTTGAAACCGTTTTAACTAATTTTCCTATTTTATTACATGTTACAGGGAAATTATGTTTTAGAATCGGACACTTTACTGTCAGCCGAAACGCCACAATTCGATGTTATATTAGCTCTTAGCATCACAAAATGGATTCATTTAAATTGGGGAGATGCCGGAATAAAACAATCATTTAAAAGAATGTTTGAACAATTGAGGCCTGGCGGAATTTTAATTTTAGAAATCCAAGCATGGCCTTCGTATAAAAAAAAGAAAAATCTCACGGTGAGTCCGAAAAAAAGAAAAAAATTAAATAAAACTCATTCGCATATTAAAAAACGATTAATTTTACTTATTATTATTATTATTATTATAGAAAACCATGTACAATAATTATTGCAACATTGAATTCATGCCTGATCAATTCGCTCAGTACCTTTTATCACCCGAAGTCGGATTCATAAAGGTGGAAGTTATAGGAACTCCTCAGCACAGAGCCAAAGGTTTTCAACGTCCCATCCAAGTATTCACGAAACCTGGTTTGACTCCCAGCCGATCGAACACGCCCATGAGCAGGTCGACACCAAGTCAAGTTCGGTATACTCCGTACAATCAAAGAATGTGCGTTCGGAGGCCGGTGTACACGGCATTGACCGTGTCGAGCCACGACATGGACGAGGACATATCGCTTTCACCGAAACAAAATGATTTTCCCACAGCCGGTGACGTGCCTCAAAGTGTTAAAGTCAAACTATCTCCGACGAATATCGAACCTTGCGGGACGAGGTGTGATGTTTCGGATGGAAATTCCAGGTTGTCGTCACCCGACGCAGGTGGAGTCGAAGTCGTCGCAGAAAGTGGAAATTAAAAACACAAAAAAAATTAAAAACGAACTTTTTACGAAGGAGAAAAAAAAAAAAAAAGAAAAAAAATTATAATTTAATTATAAATAAGATTATTTCCTTTTCCGCTTTATTTTATTTTCTACAATTTTTTTTTTTTTTTTTTAATTAGTTTGTATGTAAGAAAAAAGAGGAATCGTGGCAGAAGACGACAGGCATTGACTAGTCATACCATATTATAATTATTTCTAGTGCCGTAAATTTATCATTTTCTCTCTCTCTCTCACTCATCTTTTTCGCTCATCTCTCTCGCTTTCTTTTTTTAATTTTTAAATAAATAATTAATTTAAAATTGTTTATTTTTATTTATTTAATATGCCATATTGGAAAAATTTTGTAAAACATGGCAACACCGGGGGGAAAAAATTTTTTTTTTTTCTTGTTTTTATTTTTGATTATTACCAATTTGCAATTAATTCGTCGGATTGGCAAAAACAAAAACGGGGGGAAGGGGGCGTGTGAGGGGCGGGAAAGGGATGGATATGGGAATGGAGGGGAGGTGGACTCAAATTTGACATTTAAATTTTGGATAATTGCCCTTCTCGCATAATTTAACATTTCTTTTTTAAAAAATTATTTTAAATGTATTATTATTATTATTAGTAAATTTTAAGTTTTTTTTTAATTTTTTGATGTCATCCCATAAGCTAAGCATTTAATTTTTTTTTTTTAAATTTAAAATTTTTTTGTAGTCGTTTTTAGTAGTTTATTTGGTTTTTTTTTTTGAAATAATAAAAATAATTTAAAAAAAGGAAATAATCAGATTTATAATTTAATTATTTAAATTAAAATAATAATAACAATAATAATAAGTAAGTGATTGATAAAAATTATTTGATACGTTTTTGAGAGTATTTTCAAATTTATTATTATTATTATTAGTACAACTGTCATTAAATAAAGATTAATTATATTTATTTGTATATATATATATATTTACAAATATGTATGTATGTATGTATGTGCGAGTGTGATAATAATTTAATTATTATCATTTACATGATTGATAAAAGGTGTTCTTGAAAACGTTTTTTTTTTTTTTTTTTTTTTTTTTTTTGCAAATTCATTGCAAAATAAAAAATTTTATTTTTGTTGTTAAAAAAATGAAATTTTTTAATTTTAAAATATAAAAACAAAAAAAAGAAAATTTCTTTTAATATATTTTATAAAACCTTTTTTTTTCTTCTTCTTCTTCTTCATATAAAAATTAATTTTCTCTCTCTCTCTCTCTCTTTTTTAAAACAGTTACCGATTTAATTAAATTAAAAATAAATTAAAAAGATTCCCGAAAACTAATTATATATAAAAAAGGTTTTTTTAATTATAAAAAGGTAGGTAAGTTACCTTGTGTTCTTTTCTCTCTCTCTCTCTCTCTCTCTCTCTCTCTCTCTCTCCTCATTATTATTTAAATGGTTTATTAATTTTTTTTTTTTTTTGCTTTTTTAAACATTAATTATTATTATTATATTGAAATTATTTAGAAACTTATTTTAAATTATATAATTTTCTTTTTTTTTTTGTTTTTAATTAAAGAATTTTGAAAAGGTGTGTGGGTGTGTGTGTGTATATTTTTATATTTATGGATAATGATTATAGTTATTAAATAAAAAAATTAATAAATATTTTTATTAATTAATAATTTGTATATTTTTAAATAATTTGTACTCGAGTTTTGCAATAATTGCGTTTAATTTTTTTAATTTACAATTAAGTCCGTTTGAAAGTCTTTCTTTTTTTGTAATTGGGTTTTTTTTGTACATTTATTTTTTAACGGTTTTAAATAATTATTTGTAATTTTTTTTTATTATTATTAAATCGAATGCATTTTTTAAATGATAAATAAAGAATTAATGTATGTGTGTGTGTGTGTGTGCGTGAAAATGTTGTTGTACACAAAAAAAAGGTAATAAAAAGTTTATTATCATGTTTTGTTAATTAATTAATAAGGTTTGTAATTTATTGACTATAATAATAATAATAATATATTTTGTTAATTTATATATTTATATATATATACACATATAACTACAAGTAATTTTTTTAATTAATTAATAATTTTTTATTAATTTTTTTTACATGAATTTACAATTTAATAAAAAAAAAAAAAAATTATAATTTAATAATATGTGAAATTTTTAACGCCTACAATTTATAGGATATGTTTTTTACAAGGCGAAAAGTATAGCAAATTGCATCGCTTTGATTTTAACGTATTAATAATAATAATTAAAATAATTGGCGTGACTGATCGAATATCATTTAAATATACTTTAATAAAATTTTATTTTTTTTATATTTTCATTTTAGTTTGTAAATATTAAACAATTTGACGATATTATTAAATTTTTAAAGGTTTAACACCAAAAACAATGATAGAGAAAATAACGATTTTTTTTTTTTTTAAATTTTTATATAATAAATTTAATTTCAATTTTTTTTTTTTTTTTTCATAGCCATTTATTTTGAATAAATTTTTTTTTTAATATTGGGTTAATAGTTATCAATGCCTGACGGTTAAGATTAGGAAGGAAGGAAAAAAAAAAAAAAAAAGTTTTTAATCATTAAAAAAAAAAAAAAAACGTGATTGACCCTTGGGGGCTCGAGCTTTGCTCTTAAATTTTTTTTTTGATAAACTCTTTATTTTTTTGGTTAAAAATTTGATTTAAATATATCACTTTATTATCGATTTATGTTCATAACTTTATCACAATGATTTTATTCGAAAAAAAAAACAAGAAAAACAACCAAAGAGAGAAAAAATTAAACGAATGTTGTTATATCAATAAACTACCTCTTATGCAGTAGGTAAATGACATCATTCATTGATAAGATAATACATATTTGTAGAAAATAGCATAACACACACAGAGATCAAAAAAGAAAAAAAAAATTTTTACTTGATTTTATACCTACAGTGCCTACTAAAGAAACCTAAAAAAAAAAAAAAAAAATTTTTTTAGAACGGATCACATGTGACCCCTGTTGTAATAATTTTTTTTTAAAACCTTAAGAAAAGATTTCCCTTTTTTTTTTATCTAATAGTTATAGGTAATATTTTAAATGTGTTGTGTAAAAATAAAGTGACATTTAAAATGGTAATAACATTACATTTAACGATATATTGTTTTTTTTTTTAAACAACGTTCACTTATTATACAACCTTTTTTATTATTAATAATTAGTCTAGAACTTTAGTGTTGTTATGGCTGTTCTTATCTTAGGCCATGACTTTTGTTATAAAATAAATTACTATGATCCTACCGGTTAGAAAACTATATTTTTAAACATAAAAATATATTTAGAGTGTAAAGAGGAAAAAACTTTTTTTTTTCTGGGGTAAGAAAACTATTAAAAATTATTATTATTATTACGAATGAAAAGTTTTTAAAATTTTAAGGTAAGAATTATTATTTATGATATAAATTTAACTAATGTAATTTATTTACATTAAATTAATGTTAGTAAATTATTTTTTTTTTTAGTTTTTAAAAAAAATTTTTAATTGGAATTTAAATGAGGAAAATATATTTTCATAAGAAAAAAGTTTTTTTTAATTTTTTTTTTTTTTTTTTTCAAAAGTTGGCAGAACTTTAAGATAAGACAATTGGCAAGTCATTCGTCACGTGTCATTTAACTTTTTTTTTTTTATTTATTTATTAAAATTCGTTAAATAAATAATAACTTGAGATAATTATTGATTGAATAAATTACATAAGTAATTAAAAAATTATTTTCGGAATTCATTTTTTTTTTATCAATCAGATAGAAATAAAAAAAAAATTATAATAATTAAAAAAAAAAAAAAGAAAAAAAAAATTTATTTAAAAAAAAGAATTTAAGCTTGCGCATGCGCAGTGTAATTGTAGAGGGCGGGTCGATTGATCTGTTCATGCGCAGTCAAGCTCGTCGACCATATTCAGTTGTGTTTCAGCGCTCTAAGTGATTGTTTCGGAATGAGGCTTTTAGTTTCTAAATGATTTCATAAAAAGTTCGTTATTCGAAATTTTTAATTTTAATTTTAATTTAATTTAATTTAATTTAAATTTTTATTTTATTTTAATATCGAATTTAATTTTCGATGATGCGTTTGCTATTTTTGTAAAGGTATTTTTGAATTGATTAATTTTTTTTTTTTTTATTTGTGTGATTTTTTTTTTTCCACGTTTTTTACTTTCTGTAATTTTTTCAATCGTCTTATTTCGATGAAAAATTTTCTATGGCGCTTTTTAATAATATTATTCTTATTGTCATTATTTTTATATTTATATTATTAATATTAATATTAACAGGTTTTTACGCGAGTTGTTTTTAATTCGTTCAATTTATTATCTCGAAACCGGTTTGATTAATTCAATTTTATTTTTTTCCTTTTTATTTTTTTTTTTGCATGCAATAACGTATAAATATTTATCGACTTGAAAAAAAAAAAAAAAAAAAAAAAAAAAACTTTTATCGCTAATTATTCATAAGTTTTTTTTTTTTTTCTACTTTTTTTTCCATTTTCTTTTTTTTACGATTTAACGACTTTTTAAAAATGGCCATTATTAATATTATTATCGTTTTTTTTTTTTTTTCATTTTAAATTTTATTAATTTAACGACAACCCATCAAAGTTTCGAATTGTTTTTATTAGAGAGAGTGAGAGAGAGAGAGAGAGAAAAAAAATGAATTCGAACGAAATTCAAACGAAACATTTTTTTTAACGGTTTTTGTCTGGTTCCACTTCGATCGATCGGTCGTTGGTCGTAATAATAAATACGGAATAATAATAATAATTTTTTTTTTTAATAAATCACGAGGTTATCTCATTATTGTATATTAATCAAAATAATAGATAATTAAGTCGTCAGTCAGTCAGTCAATCAATCAATCAATCAATTTAATTGGATTTTTGTGAAATTATTATACGCTTTCCGTTTTATTTTATTTTTTAATTTTTTTTTTTTTTATCGTCGTCTCAGTAATG